AAGGTGTATCTGAATGATGCGAATATTGTTTAAAACAGGATGTATTAACATTTAAAATTAAACTTATGCACCTACAGCAGAAAATATTTTAAGCATTAAATATTACAGTATAAACATTTTTTTAGCGTATCTTCATTAGATAAAATGTGGAACTTAATAAMATTACCTAATATAATATTATTTATTGGAAAATGTCTCAAAATTGTTATTAAATTTTTCAGTGTATTACTTTCATATGTTTAACAATTATACTGTATAGTTTCTAGAACCTAGATGATTGATAGAATCACTAAGATTTTTAAGGGAGTATTTTTTCATATTTAATATTAATGCATGATTGACAAAGCATTATACAAATTAAATAAACTGGTCTTAAAAATACTATTGAAGCATAGGAAAAATTTCAATAATATAATACATTTATTTTATACTTGCCATTTTTTATGTCTTGATCTTGCTCAAAAACGGATTGGCTGGAAATAAGATGCAAAATGCAATAATAAATRAATTAGTTTATTTATTTATATACAGTAAAACCTTACTAAGACGGAATCGCTAAGGACCATCCAATTTTTTGTCTTAAAGGAAGTTTCTGACTAGATAGGGGAGGGGGGATTTTCACAATCATTATGTATTTGAATCGGGACCAAAAATTTGTTGGTATTATTAGTATTTCCGTCTTTCCAAAGTTTTATTGTTAATGTATTAATGTTAATGTMCATCTAAGTTGTTAAAGATATTTTAGGAAAAACATTTTTATTACAATATAATATATAGTATGAGCAAATAAAATGTTAATTATAAAAAAAATAGTTATTAATATAGGGACAATTATAAACAAGGATTTAATTTGTTTGAATAAAATATCTATATTTTACAAGATGAACAAACATAATTAAAATAATTTTACATGTTAAATATATTTATTTTACCTTAATTCGAAATCTGAAGGTAAAACAGTGCGACGTGGTAATCTCTTATACCTATCCAGTTGGCTTTCAGTTACTGGACCAAAACATACAACACCATCATCATATTCGTTATCGACCAAACTGAGCTTATTTGCATCCATCCTTAAAGCAATTTACAATTTCATTATTATATGACTTGCTACACAAATTGTAAGTAAACTGATTATTATAAATATGCTTTATTCATATTTCACATAACCACTAGTTATTTTTATCCTATCCTATCTAACTTGACTACTTGAGGAGAATATAATTTATCACTATCTACCAATATGATGATTAATTTAAATATCCTTAATCACAATTAGATTAATTTCCTAGGCATTTAGAAAGAACTATAATCTCGACTATAATGAACAAACAATTATTAATAAACATTAAGAGGATGTGGTAACCGCATATGTTATCACTGTCTTCTGTTGTGAGTAAAATTTGCTATATTACACACTTGTAACAATGAAGACAACACATGCGGGTATCACTCCTCCTAAATATTTCATTGAGRGTGTTTTTAATTACCAGGGACTTTTAACAGAACATAAATATAAAGACGCCAAGAGTTAATTTAAAGTACTAAAATATCATGAGTTCCAGAGCCTAAATATAAATGTTATGATTAAGGAAGTATGCACTTAATACTAATGAGGAGTATTAATTAATAGGTAATGATTAAAAAMTTCCCAAAAATTTTAAAAACAATTTATTTGTAAGATAATTTTTAATACATACTACCTATATCAAACCTTAGGTTAGATTATTAAAAATTTCCAGGAATAGACCAAAAAAAGCCATAGGGATGTAGGCATATAAAAAATCTGTGGAAAAAAAATCCAAATGTTTAATCACATAATATGTAAACAGTACATATTACATCTTTCTTGACAAAATGTATTATTTTTTTTTTTATAATAATTAAAAAATGTCTKATATACCTAASTCTAAAATATAAAAGCCTGGAATAAATGTGTGAGACTAAGGGCCAGTTGTATCGTCTACGGTTAAACTTTGATTACGCTTAATTAGCTGATAACAGATATTTAACCATGCAAATTCGGCCGATTAAACTCCGGTTAACTTTAATCAGAGACGGTACAACTGGCCCTAAAATCATTTATATATAAATTGATCACTTAACTTAAGAAAAGAAAYACACACAAATTAAATAAAAATAATATTATATTTTGTTTACATCGTAATATCTTGAAATCTATTGAATTTATATCAGAGGGATTTTGAATGTATAAACAGACTAACTTGTTTCAAACAGATAAATAGGTACTTATTATTATTATTATTTAAGATCTAAATAGCTAAAAACTCAAAAAACAAAGTTTTTAGCTTCAATGTAATGTGTAAGTGAAATGCACATATTATTCAATATTAAGCTATAGTTTCTACCTTTATTTTAACACAATATATAACGTGTATATTACATTTTCATTAAGTTATAAAAACTTTATTTGACACAAAAAAAAAAAAATTGTATTGGTAACCTGTTCCAGAAAAATTTCTATAAGATTATACATAACCTAATTATATAGTAATTATAATAAGTAGAATAGAAAATAGGTACCTAACTAAACCTTCAATTATATTCGGTTAGTACTAAAAAAATGATAAAAATGATATTTTAAACTAGGTACAGGATAATAATACTTTGAACATTTTTCCTTTAAATATTAAATTAATAAATATGTAGATTCCACTTCAATCACCAAAAAATTACATTTTCACCTCAAAATGTATAATTAAATTGTACAAAAGAAGTACCTAKGTACAGACATCAATAACATTTTAGTATTTTCATAAGAGCATAAAGCAGTAATTCAGTGGCTGAATACAATTTTCAAAATCAGTAGAAACGAGAATAACATAATAATWTAATATTAAATACATTAAAAATAAAATAATAACTTACTCGACGTTGACGCAGAACTCGAACGGAATAACTTATATTGGAAAATTAAAGTAAGTGTTAAAACGGAAAACCCAAACGTTTGGGAATTAAAATCTAAGTATAGTTACGACACACTTGTCTAAACCCACTCAACAACGACCTACACCAAATACAGAACATTAAGATTAAAAGTCATTGGACATTGGACAGCGACGCGCACGATAAYCCGAAACACATAATAAGTCGAACATCCGATACGATAAACGACGGACAAGCTACAAAAATACAAAGGGACAAAGAATAAAGATGCTTCCGTTAACCGATTACGGTTTGGTTTACCACCGAAATTTTCCGTTAAAAAATAATAAACAGTATGGCGGTTGTTCTCATTTAAAAATATTTTCTGCGCATGCGCTTACACGAAATAAGTCGACGGTCGCGCACTCGCGCCGTCGCGGACGAATCATGAATATGAAGTGAGTAACGCGACCGGCAATATATTCGCTACGCTTTCGGGACTAGGTTCATTCTCTTCACAGATTCACATGTCCATAATATTTTCGCTCTACACAACATTTCCTTTCCTATTCCCTTTCGCCTTTTACCGCTCTACATATGTTGTCCACGTTGCCTGGACGTTGCGAATTGCGGTCGAAGTGATCACTGACGAGTGACAATATTCAATTGCCCGAGTGTCCGTATGTTGGATTGTTAAAAAGTCAATGAAAAGAGCTACTCGTTTTTTTGTTTAAATTCAGAATTTATATGTGATGGACGACGAAATAATAGACGTGATCACCGAATGTAGTTTCGATTATTTGGAATCCCTGTATGAACCGTGGAACAAAATCAACTCAACGTAAGCAAAAATTGCGGTTTAAASTCTTAATAAGATATTAGTTTTTATTATTGAGATTATTTAATCGTTTGTTCCTAGGTCATATAACCCAATTAGTCCTCAATGGTTGATTCAATTGGCAGACGATTGGAACTCTGAACATGTAAGTGTTCGTGTATTATAGGTGTAACAATTTTCAGACTAAACGTGGTAGTTAACTTTGTCTGTTATTCTGTGTTGTAGAGCGTTCGTAAAGATGATTCAAGGAAATTGAAAAAACGTCTGTCAGAAGATGTTTGCGATGAGTCAAAATATCGTGAAATTCTCAATAAATATAAAGAAAATGATGTATTTGTACTACCAAATGGTGAAGAAATAGTTAGGGTTCGTAATGATTCYAGTTCTGATTCGGAAATTGATATCATGGATGGAGAGACCATTAATAATGTTGTTGAGGATTGGCAATCAGTTTTGTCACATGGTTTTACAAGAGATATTGAACACATACCAGCACCCACCCAAGAAAGACATGTAGAAAGTAATATTATAACTGCAGATGAAAGATATTATCATCCAAACTTATTTGGGAAAAAAGATGATAAAAAATATTTAAAAGTAATTTTATAGTTAAATAATTCATCTATATTGTAGGATTATTACATTTTCTCTTTTTGAAAATGATTTGTATTCTTAATATAGGTAAGAAATACTATATTAGATTTATGGAAAGCAAATAAGCCATGTTATGTATCTAAAACATTTGCTAAGCAAAAAATGAAAAAGTGTGGTACAGCAAAAGAAATTGGACAGGTACATTCATATCTTGAACATAGAGGCTACATTAATTTTGGATGTGGTAAGTTGATTAATAATGTTGTAGTACAATTTTAAATGCTAAATATATTTACTTTTAGATGAATGTAAATATCATAAAAATATTAAAAAAGAATTAGTTAAAGCCAGAATATTGAAAACTCAATATAATTTAAAACCACCTCTTCTTCATGGAAAAAACAAATCTTTTAAAAAAGTAAGCATCTTGATATTTTGAATAATAGATAAAAAAAATTAGTATTTCTATATAATATTTTCCTTAATTTAAAATAACCAAAATATATAAAATAATTATTTGTAAATTGCACCTAATTCTGTTTTATGAATAAAAATTATTATGTTTTTATAAATAATTAATTATATGTTATGTTTCAGGTAAAAGCAATGGGTGGTTACACAATATGCCACGATAAAACTTCATCTCAGTGGGAGCATAATTATTCAGTTCCCAAACAAAAGAAACGTTAACTAAAAAAATTATTGTATAAAAAAGCATTTTGGCTGTGAATGGGTTACATTTTGGTGATTGTTCAAGTACTAAATAATATGTATTAGTTTTTTTCATATTAGAGGTAAATTAATGTAAACAGAATAATTATCAAAAATAGTGACCCATATTCTAAACTTATTTGTAAA